TGTTAGAAAGTGGTGTCCAGTCAACATTAGTGAACTCCTGGTATAGTAAATTAAAGTTACATTTTTTAAAATTAAGGTTGTGCTTGGGTTTAATTGAAGAAAGAGGAAATGTTATATTGGTATTACTTTGGAAATTAGAAGTAATTATTAGCGCAGGATGATGAGAATCTTCGTTAAGAAGAGGATCATCTGCTCTAGATACTGAACATTCATCATAATTACTATACACAAGATCCAACACTCTACTATTTACATTCAAAATAAAGTTGTGCTGAACAAGATTAAAAAATGCTGTAAAGGTATTCAACGAATTCACAATAGGACTGTGATTATTAGTGATCAAGTTCGGTATATTGAAGTCGCCAATAAATAAAATGTTAGAAGCAAAAACATGATAAAGTGATTCGATGACATCAAATAAGAGGTTATAAACATTACCACCTACGTTGGGAGGAATGTATAAAAGTAAAATATGCAAAATATTATCCAAAAAGTTAATCTTCACACACAAAATATCCACTATGACTAGTTCAGGAAAAGTATCACAGATCGAGTTGAGATTAACAGCAACTGGTTTAAGAATTTTTTTAAAATATGTGGATTATACAAGATTTGGTGCACCTCCTCCCTCATTATATGAGAGAAGTCAGAACATATTTAAATACCAACTTTCCTGAACGCTGAATTGGTCGTGGTAGTCATTTCTCTTGGCCAGCACTTAGCCCACACTTTAATCCTCTCGATTTTGGCGTATGGGGCGCAATGAAACAACTTGTTTATAAAAGTCCCATAAATATTCGCAACCAAATTTGGGAAGAAATAAATGCAACTGGCGCCCTCTAAAAGATACATTAAAATAGATACCAAATTATGATTTCTCATACCAAAAAAACCACAGCTAAATTTTTTTTTGTATAAATGTCCAGAAACGTTCAAGTTATTGCGAAAAATAAATTTTGAAATTTCACTTTTAACTTTCTTATTATCAATATTTTATTAAGGCAAGTTGTCTACCATACTTCTATGTACAATTACTTAAGGACCACCCTGTATATTTTTTAAATAATTTTTTTGGTGCCTGACAAAGAAAAACGACTCTTATTATAATTTAACCTTGAGATGCCAGTTAATAAATTAACAATAAGATTTAACGTTCTCCGAAAGATTTATCATGCTCCAGGGCCTACGAATACATTCTGTATAATTTTGTTGAAATACCAGATTTTTTTTTATCTTTAAATAAATTGATAATATGTCTCAAGGCACCGGAACTATTTTCCTGCAGCTGTACGAGGGTGGTCTGAAAAGTTCCCGACCTCAACATGAAGATGGCAGCACTCGTAAATAAAAGCTAGTGAATTTCGTTGTTCATCTGTTGACAGTTACTCACCAAAGTTTCAGCCATTTTGGACGCACAGTTATTATGTAACAGTCGTTTGAGTGAGTTGATGTGAGTGTTTTTATGAAAATGGACAAAATCG